TAATCTCCCTGTGGTTCGACCCCGGTCTTGCCGGGTTATTTATTACTTCGACACTCCTGCACTTGGGAGAAGACATCAATCTTTTAGTCGTGTCACTAAGATTCAAATTGGTTGGAAAATAGACAACCATGCTTTTTCAAAAATATTGGTAGGCTTGCTAATTCATCTAAACAAGAGAAAGGGACATGTTTTAAGCCAGGACTAAAATTTATGAGGAATATATGAAAATTAGAGAAACATTATTTCCTTGTGTATTATATTATAGATTCCAATGAATACAAGGATTCCTTAATACTCATGTATGATAGTTATTGGTTTAACTATTCTATAAAGATTTCATATCAAACAATGAGACATTTATGACAACTATTATCCATTGTTTATAACGAGAAAATATCTATAATGGAATGGACGTGATGACAAGGACCTTGAGATTATTTTGTTGTTTTTTTTCTCTTATTTTATATGATTTTCTTATTCAAAAGGTAGATTATGGTCCTTATTTTACAAGATTTTCTTACTCAAAAGAGAGATTATAGGAGACTATTTAAAAGAGATATTTCAACCATTGTTATTTTTATTTTTAGGGGCATACTTTCAGCTAAATAAGAGAAGAAACTTTAGCATTTCAGACAACATCTTTCAAGCAAAGAAAGAAGGATTAATGGATGACACAAAGGGAGACTCTTTTTTCTACAAGTTTTAGATTTGGCTACTAGGGATCCAATATAAGGAGATATGATTTTGGAGTTGTTTTGATAACTTTGTATTAATTTAAATATTTCTTAACATTTATTTATTATTTTAATTAATATTTGAGATAATTATATTTATTTATAGGGATTTTATTTCTGTTGATTTTGTTTTGGCTCAAAATCAATATTTAGGCTTGGTTAGACTTAGATTTGTGCTTAGCTAAGTTTTAGTTAAGGTTTATTGGTTTGTAACCTAATATGAGACTATTAAAGTCTTTATCTTAGGACTATATTATATTTTGTTTTGCTGCAAATATAAGTAGCCTTTAGACATTAATAAAATTCAGTTTTGGTTGAGCAAACTTTTTCTTTGCTGGAACAAAATGTTAATTCGACTTATCAAGGTATAACCTAACCTTGTGGCTTCATTCGGATCATTTAATATCTTTGGTTATTAGTTACAAGTTAACTTTGGATCAAAGTTCAACGAAACCTGATTGTTTAGTTTTCTTGAAAAAGTTATTATTTTAGTTGTGAATTGTGTGATCACAAGATTCAAATCAATAATGATATTCAATTTATTTTAAATCAAAATTCTAAAATAATAATAAAATAAATAATATATAATATATATCCACGAGGTCCAATGATTATATATGTAAGGAAAAAAAATGTAAATGTTGAGTGTTTTTTTTAAAAAAATCATGCATCTTAAAACTATTACCCCTTTAGGATGTGCTTGAGATTGTAGTGGTGGTTACACTTCAAAATACCTTTTATTTAAAAATGCATCAAAATAAAATGTTTTTATTTCTTAAAAATTATTTTTGATATTAGTACATTAAAACAATCTGAATATATATATATATATATTGACAAAATAAATATTAAAATTTCAGGAAACACGATTTCAATCAAGTTAGCATACTCTTAATCTTTCATTTTTCATTAATATACTTCATGATTCTCGCATTGATTTGGTCAAAGTTCCGGTATGGGTTAGGCGCATTCCATAAAATTACTCAATCAACATAAGATTAACATTTAACTCTGATCAACTTAAAACTAAAAGAATAATTGAAACAATCTTCAATTCAAAGTATCATATATATAAAATACTCGCGTATATAAATAAGAAACTATATATGAATACCAAAATACACACACATGCTAACCAGAGAAGAATCTTTTCCATGTCTGCCATGGTAAAAACCCTCCTGCCAAGTGTTGAGAAACATATGTTATTAGTTAGTTGTGTGAATTAAAAAAAAAAAAGAAAAAGAAGAAAAGTCTTACCACATTCTGGGCAACGAAAATAATCCTTGTCCTTTAAAACAAGTCCAGATCCCCCACATACTTGACACCTTCGTTGTGCTATCTTCCATGTATGTAAACATAAGGTTATAAATCCCTTCAGTTTGTATGTGAAAATCAAAATATTTATTTTAAAAAATTACATCACCAATTAAAATATATTACAAGGACCCTTGTATTGAATAGATACGGACTGTTGAGTATCATAATTCATCCACAATAATCAGTTAAATTGATAAATAACAATTGTTTGTGAAATATAAATTGATAAATAACAACAATTGATTTATTTTGGAATGATATTCTTGAAATGCATATATATTTTTCTCCTTTTTGTTTTTCAGAATTTGAAATCTTATTAAATGTAATTCATGAAAAAAAAACTTAAAAAACATAAAGGAAGCAGTAATCTTCAACAATGAAGGAGCAGTAGAAAAGTAAGGTTGAGATATGCAATAGTACTTACTATTCTTTTGCTGAACTCAATCCCAGCTACAACGAAGGGTGTTACACCAGCTGCATATTAATTAATTTGTAATTTTGCTTAGACACACAAATTATAACGCATTGGGCCCTTTATTATTAACCGTAATACTCTACCTATAGCTCCAAAAATAATTTGCCAGGTGACCTCCACTTGGGCTATATCTGCTGCAGCCGAAATACCATGGTCATTGATGGCTAAGATCTTCGACCTGGTTTTTAATCTTCTTCCATTAATTGGAATCCCAGTAGGAGAAGGTCCGGTACTTGATTTTGAATTTGGAAACTGATCGGAGAATTGGATTGTATCTCTCTTCTTCCTAGTAGTATTTAGAGCTTTCTTGTCTGCAGGAAATGTTATTAACAGCTTTAAAGAAGAAATTGCTGTTGCTTCCATGGCACCCCACGATCCACTGCAAACTGCAGCTTTAGCAGGGGATTTCATTTTTCTTTTGTATTTATTTTTATTAATCAACCACGGAGAGACAGAGATTGTGCCACGTCCACATATTATCGCCGGTCTGGCGCCAACCACACAATACAAGATACAGCGGAATGGAATTCAGATGGGTATAGTTAGAAAACGTCACCGTTCGTACCATTCAGCGTTGTTTTTCTTATTTTACATGTGTGTTTTGTGAAGCGTAACGAAGTTGTTCCATAATTGTACAAATAATCTTATTTTGGAAGATAAGCCAGCAATGGTAAAAAAAAAAAACACACTTTAATGAACCTCTAAACTAAAGGTTCTGTGCATCCATAAAGTGCGTAATTCATTCGTAATAAAATCGTGTTAAAAAATAAAATATTTAAATAATAATAATACTTTTTAATTATTCACACTAAAAAAATTTATTTTATGTATTAAATAAATATATTTAAACAATTAAAATTAAAAAAATTTCATCAGATTTGCAAAAAAAATTTATTTAAAACACAAGTAATATCTTTGTCTATCTAAAATATTAAAAGAAAACATGATAGTTTCATCTATTTATTTATTAAAGATATAGTCACTTGAAGATATAAAAATAAATGATATTGTATATTAACATTAACTTGAAATATCTATTGTATTGTGCTATATATATATATATCCTTTCTCACTTTCATATGCTTGTTATTTTTCAAGCTCACTTAAAAGGTACAATCACTCCTTTAGTATTCTAAACACACTTAAATGCTAAGATTCTCAAGCCTCATTAAAAGTTACAGTGTGGACATATTGAATACTATAACACTAATGATAATTGCTTAATTGATATGAGTTTTCTTTTGACTAACTTAGACTCTTTATATATTTTAATTTCAGCTTTTTCGTTTTTAGAAAAAAAAAAGAAAAGGAGAAATTAATAACACTATTAAAACTAACACAATGTATTAATTAATTAATTAGTAAAAAGCACTAGAATTCTAATGTGAGAGTTTGCCAAGTTTTAATGAATCAAAAAAGATTCTCTCTATAGCTTTACATTTATGTTTAACAAAAAAAAGGTAATATTAAATGATTATTTTCCTAATAATGATAGTATTAATGAAGTTATTTTAATTTTTTCAGTAATATCAGGCCACCTGTTTCTATATTGCGACCTGTTATTCACATGGATTGTAACAAACATATGCATTCTTCTCATTTACTAACATGCCCATCATTGATTTTCCATAGTTTCATTATGGATTGTGGGCATTATTATTTTTTGCATCGAGCTAGTCACTAAAGCTACTTGTAAAGCTCATGCTTTATTAGCTTCGTATTTTTTATATATGTTTTTAATCCCTGGCAAAATGTGCACTTGCAGAACCTGTGGATTTTGAAATTGATGAAAAGAAAAGAGTGAATTCACAAAAGACAAGTGATGCAAGAGAAGGTAAGGTAGCCCTAATGTTTTGACAAGGTCTTAAGGGATATTATGCATATGTCTGAAGGAGAAAGTTGTTACCGGTGGCCAGAGAGAATTCAATGTGACAACCGGCTAAAACACCAACAAGAGTATAGTTGGAAAATTTTATCATACTAAAAACAAAACAAAGAAAGCTGCTTCGTTTGACATTGATGAACAAGGTAGGTTTAGAGTTTTTTTTTTATTTTCACACGCACCTATATATATTTCAAAAGAGCTTAGAAATTGGCTTTTGTTGCAGCTGATAAGTGGGAAATCTATTGAAGAAATAGATCTGGATAAAAAGTGTCTCTCATTCTTTGCGTGTGGATTATGTGATCACAAAAGACATCAATTCCTAAAAAGCGAAGTAAATCAAGTTTGATAGGAGAGTGACAGGAAGATAACTTATACCTAAGTATCAGCACTATTAAAAATGAAGACCGAATGTTGATTTGCGAATGAGAAGTATATGGATGACGTCACGAAGACAATTGTTCTTCGATAAGTCATTTTTCAGTTCTTTATAGAACTATGGAAGGGAGATTATCTCACCAACACACACACACACACAAAGTGCGGCATACAAGAAGTTAATCTTCAATAAGTCAGATTCAGTTCGTTCAAAGACTGAAGAACGCAAGAATCTCTCACACGTTAAAACTAAAAAATTCAGAAGTAATTATCATCAAAGTTGCCGAAATTGTAGCTTACATGAGTTTAAATAGTTCTTGAAAAATTAACCCTAATGAACCCCTTATGTGGACTTATATAAGGTCCACTAAAAAATTCACCCAAAACATTAAACTAAAAAGCCCATAACCTTATTCAAACAAGCTTTGGATCCTAATTCAAAGCAAAATTTTAATTAAGCCTAAATATTAACAAAAAAAATAAAAATAACTAATATGTAATTAAATATCACTAGTCCTTCTTTCCTTGTATAGTTAGGATGAATAAGGAATCCTCGTAAGAAAAGGATTTTGAAACATTAATGAATCCTTGCCAAACTTAGAGATTATATTACAGCTCATTAAAGATCCTTATGAAACTACAAAATTCCCAAAACCAGTTGCCACATCTTTGAAGGAAAAGAATCCCAACCAAATAGGAAGTTCACAAGTCAAATGGAAGTAAATAACAAAATTCGTACAGCCTCTGTTTACAAGTATTCTGGTGCCTTCCTGAACTCCAATTGACATGAAATTTTAATCCATAGTAGGACAACATGTTTGAAGAGTCCATATAAAATATTAACAGATCCAACAGTCGGATTGAGAGTTATAACTGTTATTGTAAACCTGGACAGTTGCGCTTTTTACACCTAAATCCGAATATGACCTTACTTGGGTCATATCACAAGGTAGAACCGTATCATTCCCTCCTTCTTTAAGAAGATTCACCCTCGAATCTTGAATAGAATTAGTAGCAACTTCAGTAGCCTCTTGTTTAAGCCTTCAAAATTCTCTTATTGCTAACACCTTTCTCCAATAACACTGTATAAAAGTAGTGACCGACAAGAATTTCAAATAAGCATGTCGTACTAACCACATGCATACATACTTTTGAATGACAACCACAACGGCTCTCCTTTTCCCATGAAGCTTGAAGATCATAGAATAATATTCTACACTTATCAACTTCTCGTTCTAAAACCCCTAAACCATGGCTTAGTTTTTCGCATCGTTGATCTACAACCTTCCTCTATTCCCTCTTCTTTGGTGAATGCATGAAACAAATAGGGTATTAGGTGTTAAGACACCCCTTCGGCCTTAATTGCTTATGTTAGGGAGGCTACGAAACCAAACTTATCTACATTTTTATTATCATCATTTTTTATTATTTTTTTTTCAAATTATATACTATCCCTTTCCTTTAATTGTTATATTTAACAAAAGAACATAAATAATATAATAATTCAATATGCAACCCACAATCATATGTTAAAGTGTGTGTGCAAAAATTAAGGTTTTAGAATACATGTTAAATGAGTATATAAGAATAATTAAGTGATAACAATGTGAGAGAGTTTGTAAACCTGAATATTTCAAGAAGTATTATGATAGACTTTGTTATGAATATTGCAAATAACCATTGAAAAATATTTACAAAGATACATCTTAAGAGTCAATAACATTCCTCCTTACTCTGCTATCTTAGTAACAACAGTTTGCAAATGGTTTATGAAAAAGAAAATGATTAATACTTAAAAGTGTATTTTTACCAAGGTTTTATATCATCATTTTGCACTTGAAGTATTAACAATTCCTTAACTAAAGCACGTTTTATAATAATATATCTAATAATATAAAATACCTTAATTTGTGGTAAATGTTCATTTTAAATGCAGACCTATCACATAAATAAAAGGATTGATTGATGAATTTAAGAACTGAAATTGAAAGAACAAAGAGATCGCCAAATTTAGAAAAGAGATGTCGGTGCAATCCAAACCGGAATACTGTTCGGCAATTAGGTCATATCTGGAGCTATAGATCTCAGATTTAGGTCTACTTTATATGGATG